AACCAGTGCATTTCAGCGGCTGCTAAAGGGCTAAACGAATTTCTAATTACATAACTCAAGAAAATAAAGAAAACTGTTTTACTTCTTAAAAAGTAATACTTTTGAAAACTCTAGATCAGCGTCAAATTGTCATCCTTATAAACGGCGAGCCTTGACAATAGTGCAATGATTAAAGACACCTTCAAGGATTTCTAAACTTCATGGACGGTTCCAAACACAGCAGCAGTAATAATTTGCAATGGAAAAAAATGGGAAATTTTATCGAGGAGCGTATAAGACATTTGCTACTTACAGCTGATGTCATCAAGCTTATTGGTTCCCGTTAGTACGAAGAGTTCGAAAGGGATGTCATCGTGAGATAACATGGGGCTTACTCCGACCCGCAACCATTCATGCCCCTTAAATGAGAGCCTGTGTTTTTTCTTGTATCTTTTTGTAAACAAATTATCTACAATATAAAAGCCCCGTCCGTCTCAGCACACTTCATTTTAACCTCAACTAACAACGAGAGCTTCTAGTGGGTGAAGTATATTCCTCCATTTCCGCTGAGCAGGTGACAGTACAAACTGTTGAACACTTGTTTTCTTCTAGGAAATGCAATGTGACCAATTGAATAGAGAGCAGGACGTGCTAGGCCCAACAGCTGGTTCCAATGCCAAGTCTCCACATGACAAAGTGGACCCTTCAAAGTCTCCGAATGACAAAGTAGACCGTCCGAAGTCTCCAAATGACAAAGAAGACGCCAAACATGAACCAGAAGACAAGGGAAAGCCACCGGAATCGGCAGCGCAACCCAAGAAAATCAAAGCGCCGAAGCCTGGCGAAGGTGTCGTTGCAGTTCCATACGACGATTCATCGTCGTCCGAGAGGAAGAAGAAGAAAAAGAAGGTTTTTGTTCGTGAAAATAAGAGAGAGTTAAGCAGAGATGACGACAAGGAAGGAGGGGGCAAGAAGACACTATCAGCAGAAAAAGAAGACAAAGATGACAAGAAGGCGGAGGCTAAGCATGACAAGGCGAAACAGAAAAAGTCTGAGGAGAAGCACTCTGACGTATTCGATTATGAACTAGCGAAAACGCAGGATCTTAATGAAGAGGCGAAGTAAGTAGAACAATTAGCGCAGACGTTTTCTCGAGGTTTCAAAAAGGCTATCTTTTCAGGAAGAAGAAAGGAACGTACGTTGATAATCTCTTCTCAAATTGCCATGTGTGGAATGTATGCAAAGCGTGTTCCCACGCACAGTAGAGTTTGTGTTGTGGGAATCCCATTTTGACTCACTATTCGCCCTTTGAATTGCAATCTGAAGAGCAGTTTACCACACTTTTCGATGGGGCATGAGCATCTATAGTTGAGTAGCCTTGAAACCTTTCCGGTACTAGCTTTCGATCCTCGTTGATAACATGAATGCAGTGAAACCATGTAACATCATGGGCGGTGCGTAAAGGAGGCGCACGGGCGCCAACCGAGGAGCCGACTGGTATCAAATCTATGTGTGAGGACCGGTGCGTAACAGTATGGCTGCCTATGCGCTAAAACTCAGAAAAAAAATAATTGCTCTAGGGTACGCCCCGCCCACTGTGGGCGGGTCTCAGCACAGCACAAACTTGCTGGATGTTCTGCTTCTCCAACGACTTTTCCGATCTCCAGACCCTCTTAGGACCAATTCATCAAACCTTGTAGCAAGCACCGCCTATCTGAAGTGCTGCCCGCCCACTTTGGGGATATCTTCCTAACTTCGTCTACTAAGCGATAGCCTCAATCCACTTTTGCTTTGGTCTTTGCTGCTTTGCGACCGATTCGCAAATTTTACTACCAATCGCAAAACCCACACTGGAGCAATGATTGCGCCGCAAAATGGGCGTGCTCTCTTCTCACGAGTAATACTTCTGCCACGTCTTTACTTGCCGCTGCGCAGGCCGCCTATGCGCGCATGTGTTTCCAAACACCCTAGGGCCCCTTCCAGACGGCGGCTTGATTGTCCTGCCTTTACAGGCCCCTTCTGTGGCGTGTGTTTCTCCCTTGCTTGAGTCGGACTCAACTTCGTTTTCATGTCTTTTCTGGTGCCTCAGAAAGAGTTTTTTGTTACTGCGGGTGGTGTAGCCAATGTTATGCAACAGGACTTCGTTGGCTCCAGGAATATCAATACTCGTCAATACTTGTCGAATTTCCGAAGTAGCTGCATGAGGCTCTCAGTGCGATAGATTGACTGACAAAAAAGGTCCATTTTCACAGTAGTAATTCTACGTTTTAACAGAAAATTCAGTCCGAAATCGCGCGATAAAACTGATCAAAAGAAAGCGAGCCAAGCGAAGTCGAAGCAAAAACCAACTCCGAAGAGGGATAAAGAGCGCTAAGCAAAGGGCAAGAAGCAAGGGTGGTTCAAAGTGTCGATAGTTTACTCAACACAAGTGCTTTCGTAAGACCATTGCAAGAAAGAACGAAAATGAATGAGATCTGGTGTTTCTAAAAGTTAAAGTATGTAAAAATGCGCATAAGTGGTATAAACAGTGAAGTTTGAGTCTCAGTGATATAACATGCCCACTTGCAACAATAGCAGTATTTATGATAAACACGGTAAGATACGAAGACCAACAGAATTACTGATACGTACACAGGTATTATACAAGAAAAGTAGGATGAAACTAAACCAACTTAATGGCCGAGATGAAGTAAGAGTGCGAAGAGTTATACTGTAAAGAACGAATGTGAGGCCGTGGAACCGGTAGAGCTGGCCTTTGTGTGCTAGCAGTGACTGTGCGTTGGGAACGGATTGACTGACCAGATTTGCGTGCGAAAATTGTGATACAGGTAAATTTTGACGAGGGACGGGACTACAGGAAGAGGGAATTGCTTCCTGTGATGCGTCCAACGATCGCAAAAACGGTGGCGAGGTGAAGCCGATGAGGACTAGGAAGTAATTCGAGGCAACAAGAAGGAAAAGAGATGCTTCAACTCGGCAGCCAGCCTGCTATATACCAGGCGGCTTCTTCCAAGGCCTGCTGCATCCAGTAGGACGCTCAAAAACTAAGTTGAGCGAGGGGCGCAAGAAAGATCAGGGCAGGAAATTGGGTGATCTATCTGCGGGTACGAACTAAAAATTGTGATAGATTCCCCATAATCTCTGCCTCCTCCAGCCTCCGTAAGAAAAATCGCGATAGGGGATGTGGCGGCCTTTATAGCACCGGGAGCAAATAGGAAAGGACAAAGATCAGTCGACCGGTAGCTCTATTTCGGTGGACCGATATGAGCAGTTGGTCGTCGTCGGAACGAATCGCGAAACAAATAGAAGCATATCCCTACTTTTTTACTTATCCTAATTTTTTAGACGCTCAAATAGCAGGACCAAACATTGCGGTACATTAACGTCAGCAATGATCTGCAATGCTGGATATATTAGCAAAGAGTGGGGGTGGTGACGGGAAGCAGGGATGAGCACAGCCTTGACGTTTTCTACAACTGTTGTTCCTCAATCAGTCACTAAATGATCACTGCTAGTGAAGGCAGTGGGATAAAGGGGGGGGGGAGGAATATGCGGGCATATTCCATCCTTCCTGACAGCGTCCAGACTGGTCGCGACGATTTAATCCATTCACATATTCAGTAGTATGAGCACAATGCCATTACTTTTTCCAGAGAGAAAAAGAAAAGTGACAAAAGCAAACCATCTAGAACCAAGTAAGGAAGATGCACCTTCAAAGTGCAGTGTATGACTTTTCTTCTAGAGATGTTATTTTCAGAGGCAGTAAGAATCAAAAGAACGGCGCAACGAAAAGCGCCGAGATCGTCAAGGAAGGCAAAGAGAAGGGTTCCGAGGACAAGGCTAAGGATGAAGGCAAACCGAAAGAGGACAAGGCTAAGGATGAAGGCAAACCGAAAGAGGACAAGGCTAAGGATGAAGGCAAACCGAAAGACTCTGATTGCAAACTTAAGGGTAGCAAAGAAGCAGATGACAAGGACAAAGATGTTAAAGACCTTAAGCCTAGTAAAGAAAAAATGCCGGAAGACAAAGGAAAGGATACTAAGGAGCAAGGTCCCGGAAACAAAGCTAAAAATTCTAAGGAGAAGATCGCTGACGATAAACCTAAAAATGACAAACCAAAGGGCGCCAATGAGAAAAAATGAAGTGCGTCATGTCAATAACTCACAATCTGAAGCACTTTCAAATACTCTGTAGAAGCGTCATAAAAGCTTCAAGAAACATATGTAAAATAAAACTTTACTCAATATTACACATGCGGACGAGTGATTTGATATACGAAGTCAAAACAAGCTACTTTTGGAGGTATCCAGCGGTGATGAATCGTGTTTTTTACACTGTAAAAGCTTCCCTGAAGCTTCAAAGACCAGCGTACAGCAGACAAATATTGTGGGTAGTGGAAATGGAATACGAATGACAAAGTGGTAGGTAACTTACTAGGGAAGTACGCCAACTTACAATGGAACTTTGAATGGAGACGTGGGTAAATCGATAGAGCTTGTAAGGCTATTTACAAATAGCATAGCACTAGTAGTAGCAAAACTGGAACCTGCTTTCACAAGCAACTTATGAGCAGGTAAACTTTGTAATGGTGCAGTAGGGTGGAGGCTTAGTGGTGAGCTAGGAAGCATAAGCGAGGAGTCGCATACGTCTAATAGAGTCGTCGAACGTCTAACCTTACCACTGAACTACCACCGCTCGATTTGACGTATGCGATTCCTCGCTTATGCTTCTTAGCTCACCACTTAAGCCTCCACCCTACTGCACCATTACAAACTTTACCTGCTCATAAGTTGCTTGTGAAATGCAGGTTGCAGTTTTGCTATCTATATTTGTAAATAACCTTATAGACTCTACCGCTACCCAGGTCTCCATTGAAAGTTCCATGGTAAGTTGGCGGACTTCCCTGGTTAATACATAGAGAAGAGGAAAGCAGAAAAATCTGCGGATAACCCTTTATCGAAGCGAAACCGCTGCGCGAACGAGTGAGAAAGAAGTTTGCCGGTGCGGATCCAAGTATCTTACGGCTTCTCTTATATTATGACCTCGTCATCGTTGTTTACTTTACTTATATTGCGGTGCCTCTCGAGGTTTAGGTGGAGGAGTTATTGAGTGGGCTAAGGTTTTGACGTTTTCGTCTTCATCAAAGACCAGATTTTTACCCTGACTCCGCTGTCATGTCCGGACAGCAGTCTGTTCAGATGGAAAGTATACTAGGCCTACTGGCCTATCTTTGCGATCGCATGTGACAGTGGATTCACGGTGAAAGTCTGACCTCTAGAGAAGACGACCACGTCGAAACGTTAGGCCGTCGAATAGAGATTCCCACCTAAAAGCCTCGAGAGGCACAGCAACACTCTCAGAGTAAAAAATGCCGGTTACAGCTTGAAAGAAAATGAATAATATTCGAGCTGTACGTCGTTCTTGGGTTCCGCCTAAACTTCTGTCTAATTTGGTTGCGAATCGAGGTTTCGCTGATGGCCATCCGACAACCTGTGCCGATAATGTTTCAGAAAGGACCCATTCCGATCCGAACATGTACGATCACATTACGCAAAGACAGAGGATAGCATATGAGCGACGTTTCCTCTCAGCTCATTAGTCTTTTTATTTGGCGTCATGCCACCATGGGTAAGCAGTCTTGTCATGGAAAAAAAATGGACTTTTTAGCGAGATTTTCAGGAATATGAGAGTAGATTGGGACGCGTCACGGCGCCCAGCGTCCTTATGACGCATTTTCGGGTATCGCGCAAATCTCTGCAGAGGTCAGGTCAATATCAGCGTAATCATGGGCAACTGGAACTCAATCCTTTGAACTGCGTCGATGCACTCTAACAGTTACATGAGTCATTTCGTGACCACTGCGACTTCGCACATTTTAGCATTTCACGCATCATCTGTGGATCATCTCTCTTGAAGATTCTATACCCTGTCCCTGTCTGTCGCGTATCTTTTTGCACGGTGCCCACAGAATCACCCTCGAACCGTAGAGGATTGGGTTTGGCACTTTTTCCGCCTCTCCTGCATCGTCACTGCTCAAGGCGGTTAATGTTGTAGTGGAGTATCCACTTCTCAACTCCAGTGACAACGTTGTCAGGCCACGCATGCGATTTCTCAAAAGTACACTCCTTATCACTGAACCAGAGTAAGCGTGGCATTTGAGCATGGCACGGAGCCAGTTACTCGTGAAATATTCCAATTTGGGACAACTGTGATCCTGTTCTTCGACACGACAACATTAGTGTCTATAATAAATGAAAATATCTCACCCGAAGATAGACTCTCTTAATTGAGTTGAAGGCATGCAGCCACGCCTATCCCGATCTCTGGGATTTCAAGTCGTCATCCGGGCAGTTGATTATTCGGTCAAATGGTCGCAGCGCGGCTGCAGCGCGTCACGACCGCGGCGATCAGCTGTTTCCAGCCTGGTTTAGCAGTTTTCTCCTTGAATTTTCACTGTATTTTCTATTTTTCTGAAGGTAAGTTGTTGTTTGTCTTCATGAGGTATGCTGATACGTGGATTCTTTTTTTTTGTTCCCGTGGTGAAGTGTTTTGCGATTTTTCAGGTATTTGTTTGAATTGTTTGTTTAATTGTTTAATTGTTCGCGAAAATTAGAGAAATCTCAATCATAATTTACCTTGTGAAGACAAGGAACAACAACCTAAGAAAAGCAGCCAAAAACAGTGAAAAGTAGGGAGAAAATGACTAAACCAGGCCGGAAACAGCTGATCGCCGCCAACAGTTCCTACGTACGCGGTCGCTGCTGCAGCCGCGTCTGCGACCCTTCGACGACCGCCTGATCAACTGCCCGGATGACGACTGTAACAGGAATGGTGTCTATCTTGCGATCCATGTCGTGTTGCGTCAATGCGTGGGGTATCCACCTATCCAATTTTCGGAACTTGCCGATTGCACCCAGTGCAGGAGGAACGGTTGTGTAGGAAAGACCAAGACTGGTTGGCATCGACGAGAAAACTGGCATAGGCTCTTGTTCACACGCTTCCGTAGCATGTCCAATTCGTTGTCACTGGGCGCCCAGACCTGTCTTCATCTTCGATGGGTAAGTCACCCTTCTTCAACTTGTGAACCAACGGTGGATGGTCATTCGACTGGGAACAGCAGCCGTATACAGGGCTCATTGGGATTGAGGACATACTGTGGAACGGCATGATATGGCGAAAGTGGTGCTCAACTAACACGAACTGCGAAGGCATTTCAGAAGGGATCCTGCTATACGTAATCCGCTAAGCGTTTACCTGTGTGTGTCTGTCTGTCACGAAATTCATAGCGACCCCAGTAGCTGTGGGAAGTTGATTCCAAGGAGTGATATAGGGGCTGTGACGGGAACATTATTGGTGGGTGACAGGGAGTGATACCAGCTGATAAGATCTGATAAGAGGCGTCAGAGTGGGAGGGCCACCGAGTCCATAGCACGGGTCACAGCAATAGTGGGACGTTAGTTCCAAGGCATGATATAGGGTATGGGACAGGAGCGTTATTGGTGGGTGACAGGAACTGCTAGAAGCTGATAAGATTTGATAATGGGAGTAGGAATGGCGCCATATTCATAACGCGGGACACAACAACAATAGGCGTTGGTTCCAGCAGGAGATGTAGAGGAGAGGTTGGGGACGTCGACGGTGGGTGATAGAAATTGATAGCAATTGATAGTGGCTGGTAAGGAACGTTGCCATTGTTGTTCAGTCGAAGTGCTACAGTCTTTACACTGGATGCATTTGCATGTAATGATGTCGAGCGGGGGAGGGCGGAGGGTATGTAGCTTGCCTGAAACAGGAATGTCAGGTAACTTCAAGAATCAAATGCCTGTAACACACTTCAGTAAGATTTTTTACCTTTAAACTTTTAACTACTGATGAGAACGAACAGGATATTATGAAACAAATGTATAACTAGCGTAGCTCAAATATTAGCACCTGCAAGCACTACGAGGACTTCAGCGATTACATAGTAGTGGAACAGGTAAGCGCTCATCGGTAGGCATTTCGATGCAGGTAATGGAGACTGAATTTGCTCATCTAGAGGGATTCATATTGCGCTGTAATGTCCGACAGTACTTTCTATTCAATAGATGTACAGTCCTCATCATTGCGGACCGGTGGGGCGTGTCAGCCAGTATGAGTGTGCACACTTTGCAGTTGAGCCGTTCTGCTTTGAAACGCGTATGCGACAAAAAGTGGTAGAAAACGAGTAATACGAAGGATATAATACAGTAATGTCACTTGCCCGCTTCAACAACTGGTGCAGAACGACTTTGGCACCGCGCCAAACGCAGCCGCACTGACACGCCCCACCGGTCCGCAATGATGAGGACTATATGTATAATAAGGCATTATGGCGAAACCACCACCTCCTTAAAATATAGGCGCGGACTCAGGAGTGCAGAATCTGCTGGGTCACTCTATTCATTACGAATCGATCAGCTGGAATATGAGCAGTTCGCTGCACGAAGAAATTCCGAAAAAATGAAGCGCGCCTGGCGGCCAGACGCAGCTCATAGTAAGAACGGAAGGCGCTACTCAGCCCTCCTCAAGAGAAGGAGAAATCTCGGCGTCAGTCGGGCGACCGACTGGTTTTCTATACTTTAGTTAACACTCAGTGCATAGTTATTAATACTCAGTTCTAACGGCCATGTAACCATTCCTGTATTTGAGAGAAAGAAGTGTAACGTCCTGCATATATGTACTGTCAAGGATGAGCGCACAGCGTTCGTTAGATACACTGGTCCAAAGATACTTCACTTGGGTTCCTGAGCTGTCTTCAATTATTCTTCGAGTTTCTTTCATAGTGCCGTTGCTAAGAACACAGACCTACCTCGAAAGCGTTCTTTGCGCCTAACGTTGGAGCTTATGTGAGAAGACAATCACGGATAAGCGGCGTCGACCTAGACTGAAATGCCTGTGGCTGGACAGCTTCAACAGGAAAGTTGCTGAACTAGGCGCAGGGTTACCTTACAGGCGTCTGTGCCAAGAGGTTTTGTCAGGAAAAGATGTCTGGAATCGAATCCCTCCTCTGAAGCAGGTACAGGAGGAAAATGAATGACCTAACAACGCTGTTTAGAGTATGACAGGAAGGTCTGTGGTTGATTTAGGATGCTCTCTCACCCTTTGTCCTCTACCACCAGAGGGGATAAACATTAACTCTTTCTTCCTAGTGCTAGATCTGATGTCAGAGTGGATTTTCACTGTGAGGGCTTCCACTGAACCCAGGAAGTTCGCTAAGATGCATATCATGCACGGAAGCCTAGCTCAGCTCAGAAGGGCCTTTCGCTCATACTTAGCTTGAAACCACAGGCTTGTGGAAAACGTTATGTTTTCGTCACTCTTGTTCCTCTTTTTTTACGTCTTCTTGTAGAATGGCGGTTCAGTTTTACGCATTTATGTTGCTTGTTATGGCTTTTGTTGTTCTTTCTAATGATCCATGTACCTCTCTGTGTACTGTAATCAATACTGAAAAGTCATCTAAATTTTTTATGAGTGAACAAAGGAAGGAAGTCACATACCAAACAAACAATCAAGAAGAACGGTGCAATATTTTCCACTTAGTGTGTACTGCATTTTTTTCCGATTCTTTTCAAGGCAAAAAGAGCGTCTCACAAGTCAACAGTGAGCTGCATCTTGCTGAAACTCATAGATGACTTAAAAATTCGTTCGAAAGTGATCACCTGTAGTGAAGTGCACGAATATAAAGAAACTCACTACTCACACGAAGTCAATACTAAAATAATGACAAGGAAACTACTCACACGAGGTCAATACCAAAATAATGATAAGGAACCTTGTAAGATAAAAACAACTAGCAAAGTTACAACGGCCGCGGCAATGGTATAAGAAGACAAAGCAGGTTTTGCGCATAAGATTCTTTGATCAGTATTTTCGCACAAGAAGTCAACAGTGCCTCACTAGGCGGAATAAATATTCGATTCTCAAATGTAGTTTAACACTTTCAATATGAACACTTCAGTATATTGGTAGTAATTGGCTCGAGTTAGGAAAAGGCAGTGCATCAGATACGTACTTAGTAAGCGGTCAGCATGAAACTAGCGGCGTGTCGGCATGATGGTGTGATTGAGAGGAACTCTGGCGCCCAGTAGATGCGATGGTAGCGTCGATCCTGAAATTCAGTTCTATTATTTGAGTAATATGCGAACGTTATAAGGGCGAAGATGGTGTAGTGATAAGGAGGGATACAACCTCTACGGTTCGAACGCAGAACCTTGGATGGGCTTCGGCCTCGACCCCCTCATCTCTTGCAGGGTGATCAGTGATAACGAGACCTCTCCATTGGGATAAACACACTGATGTGTCAAATGAATTAGTCATTGCACAAGGTTTACTCTAGTTCGCTGCGGATGAAGGGGCGTGTCAGGAGGGACGAGTCTGGCGAGGTGCCAAACCTAACATCCATCAGTTTTTGGAGAGAGTTGGTGACAGGACTGTGTCGTATCACTCGTTTTCTACCGGTTTGTCCATACATTCTTCGACAACCAACAGGGAACCAGTTTGGCACGATGGCACACTCATGCTTGACACGCCCCTTCATCCGTAGCGAACAAGAGTGTAGTTTGTATTCGAAAGATAAAGTTAAAGGCTACTAATGAGGGTGCATATAGGTACACATACAGGGGGGGGCGAAAAAAGACTTTTTTCTTCCTTGACTTCCGAGGCGCTATAAGTTACCCTTTATTAAATTCTTTTCGGACATTTCTACCACCACCTTAAAGAGCATATTAAATACTATCACGATACTCCGCCACAGCCTTCTGGAGGAGCGCCATCGAGAGATTCTGCCACGCGACCGTGAGTGGGTGCCTGAGTTCAGCGAGATCGTTGATTTCTCCGCCACTGTAGACCACCCTATTGAACTCCCGAACCAGGTAATTGAGGGGGTTTAGGTCAGGTGACCTGCTTAGATATTCCACCTTCTTCAGGTACTCAACGCCCTTCCATTCCAAGTAGGCAAGAGTTTTCCCAACGCCCTTTGATTCCATGTGGTGTCACCCAATCCTGTAGCAGTACAAAGTTTCCAAGAAGGTACGGGCGACGACATGTGGAGAGGATATTCTTCTTCAGTTGCTCGATGTAACCGCCAGTGCTCACCTTCAGTCCGGGGCCCACGAAGAAAATAACCCACAAGAATTTAACCCAAAATGATTCCTGTTGATCACATATGAGAGCAGAAGCAGGAATTAATACGGAATTGCGTCCACGATGAAGAAAAAAGAAATGACAAAAGCGAGAGCAAATTCCAACCTCAGCAGGTCTCCAGTCATCTGGTTGAAGGAATGGAGCCATGTAATCAAGACCAGAAGTACGTCCACGCCAGTACCGAAACCAGTTCTCAAATCTGTAGGAATTTTTATGGAAGGTATTACGAATTACGGAAGAACTTCACCAATCAGAAATGCCCCTCAATAGCCGCTCTTACTTACCGTTACACTATTTTACTAACAACAGCTACTTTACTTTCTTACCTAGTGGTGCTTGTCGGCAAGGTATAGCAACGTCTCAAATTCGGTTCCTGTGGCATCTCAAATCGGTTGCGAGGCTGCATCGTAGTGCGAGGGAGCATCACTCGATGACTGAAAAGTTATCAAAATCGAGAGAAAAATCATCTATTTTAGCTCGGCTTTTTTTAATCAAGCGTCTTTCTTTTTTGGCGGTGTTGTTTTACTACCAAGTGTCCCAAATTGCTCGTATTTGCTGGCCAACGAATACTTTGACTTTTTTTTCTATTACAAAATTACATGTGTAGAATAAAATGTTCCTTCCAAAGTTTTACCGCCACTGGTGAAGAAGGTTATGCTTTTCGAGACAATATGTTTAGTTCCGCTCCCAAATGAGGATCAGTGAACTTTGAGACTACGAAAATTAAGTGCCAAGTCTACAAAATTGAACATTTCCGATCACCCCATTTGTGGCTGATCGGGGTGCAAGACCTGTAGATTGCCCAAGCGAGGTGTGATCACTACTGCTCAGTGCAGCTTGAGCATGGTTCACGCTGTCTAGACGGGACTCTCAGGTCTCGTAAATATGTATTTCTTCGGACGATCAGTTGAGCTCGATGAAAAGCGGCTGCTCGCGAGCCAATTTACTGAGTCAAAAAAACTTTCCCAGCAAGTGAAAATGACGATTAGCGACGCTGGATTCCCTCGGTCGTTTACGATGCTCGTCAAGAAAAATTTTATCCGTTCGGCACCTACTGAAAGCAAGAGGGCGTCCAGGACATGCCATCCCTATCTGCGAAGATGAAATTGAAACCTCTGATTTATTTGAACAGATTTTGTGTTGGTTCCTGGCTATGTCTCGTTGTTGTAGTCTTAAAATCAAGTGGCACAATAAATCCCCTAGCGTTTAGAATTAATACGCCTAGCAGGACAGAATTTGGCGCATCTGAGCAGGTGCTGCGTGGCGCCTTCTTCAAGAAAGGTACCTTTATAGCGCCCTATCAAGCTGCAACATACCGACCCGGACGCCCACCGCGCCCACCCGCCCACAAATGTCCGACCGATGCTGATGCTCGTATCGCTTCATTTGCGAAGTACAATATAAAGCGAAAGATTGACATGAAAATGCTGCAGGTCCTGCATGGATATATGAAGGCATACATGCAGCCGTATCTTCCGAAGCGGACACTGGCAAAATACTACCGGGAACCTCGTCCGAAGTTGTTTTCTGGGTCATGTAGATCAAAGGCTTTTTTCCGCAAATTTTGACCGTTCCACCTTACTTTACCGTTTTGCACCCAGTGCCAAATTATCCTGCCCATGCCTTTAGCGCGATGTTGCAATGACCTAATAGAGAGTAACAGAAAAAACCTTCGAGTAAGGCTGCCCATTTACGAAAGAAATATTACCGCCTCGAAAATCCATGCAAACTGTCTTGTACAACGCGAAGTTCTCTAGCGCAAAGTTCGAAATGCATTTTCAGAGCATTTCATTCTTTGCCCAAAATTTTTTAATTAGAATGAAGCCCTTGCTTATGTGAATCCCAATCTTTTGTTGTTCCATAGCAGTCATTTTTTGTTGAATTTTTTTTTGTCCTTCGAACAATTAGGCATCTCAAGTAGATGCTCGATACCTATAGAGTGTCCGCTGTTTACTGTAATGCATCCTGCAATACAATCCCCTCTCACATGCTGCTGTGCTACTCAAACGCTCTCAACGAATTTTCCTGAAAATTTTGCCATCAATCGGCGGAGGGGAATGGGGTATGTACCTCTTATCCAGAATGGCAGAGATATTGCTTCTGTAGTTTTGCCATGCTTCCTGACAGGAATAATCAGCGCGCGTGAAAAGGAAAACTCAACAGTCGGGAAAAATTTTCTCAAGCATGGTATGACCTCTCCCCGCTGACCAAATACGACACGTTGCCCACCCTATAGGGGATCTCACAGCATACGTGCCTTGCCACTAACAATACAAAATATTTTCCAAATGTTCAGTGAATGTTTCCATTCTTCGAGAGCAGTTATAGAATTCATATAGGAATCATACTAGAACTTACTTCCTATCACGCTCTACCAGCCATTCCCCTTGTTTCGGCGAATAAGCCTTGTGTGGAACAAGCTCGTAAGAGCATCGCCTATTCCTAAAAATTGTTGGGTCATTTTAGAATGTACTCAGCAAAAAAAAGAGAATGTAGGGAATCAACACTTCGAAAGCAAATTTCTGTGGGATTTTTGTTTTAAACTAACCTCGAGGGGATACAGAGACTTGGTGCCAGCGTGGTGTACATTTTTCTTTCCCGAAATGACCCCAAATACGGGTGGTACATCTCATCGTAACGTGAATGCTTGGCAGTATGGTACGCACTGTTCACATCGTCGAATCTGCAAGTGCCGAAGAATGGACATAAATGATGTAGAAATGCGACCACTAGACTTTTCAATCCACTAACGTATTTATTCGTTTATTCTATTTCGCATTGATTTTTTTATTATTATCTGTGAATTTCTCAAGGCAGAGCTCGCGGTACAATAACATGGTTGTTCCCTTTAGCGGAACAACTAAAGATTCTCCATTGGTGTCTATATCGGTATCACAGCTCATAGGGTCTACGGAGTTTCAAAACAAGTGTTTAGTAGGTTTGCCTTGCTCCAACGTGTACCATTAGTTCCTTCAAGAATTATGAGGGTACTGCAGTTTGAAGGCACATTCCGCGATAAAATAAGGCTACGATCTCTCAAATGTGTCGGACGATGTGTTGGACGATCCGGAAAGGCGATTTTTGAGGCTGCGCTACTTTCAAAATGTGAAAAACGGCAAGAACTCCGCTAGAAGCTGACTAATTAGGCCCATGGACACCCCTTAGGCCCATGCCGACCCTCACCGGCTGCTAGCTACTAGTAGCCACTATGTTATCTTCTATAACATTTCGGACTGCTTTTTCTGCTGCTTTCCTCCGCTAATCAGATACTTAGCACTTTTTTGTGCCTATTTGAGTTCCGTTTCCTGCAATTTGCGTGGTGCGGCATTCAAATTGGTGCCTCATGACTATAGTGGCTTCCTAAGACTAGTGCTAGATAGTGCTTGAGGGGGTACACATCCGGAATAAACAGATGACTGTTGACGTCTCGCCAATTGCCTCTGTTCAGATTGAAGAAAATTTGTGAGAAAAATACTCCATTACACTAGCACTTTCGAGAACAAGGACAAACTAGACCATAAATGTGCCACGTTAAACTATCAGAAGAAATTATGGGAAAGGAGTTTCAGTTGCGCTTTGCACTCAAAGAACCAATAGCGATATTGGCGAAATGTATGGATTTTGGACTTGCATGGATTTGGTGAGGACTGGTAAGTAGATGAAAATGAAAAACGAGGACCGTTACGGAACGGGTGGTGAAAGGAGGGGAACAGCTGGAGATGAATGAGTCTAGTTCGAAACATGGAGCTATTGCGCAGAAATCAAGGTGGAGTGGATGCATGCATTAATCCGGTGCTTGCTCGGAAAACTTCGAATGTTGTAAAACTCATGTAATTGACTTGAACGCGGTAGGTACTGATGTTAAGTAAAACAAAGATGGGCTAGAATTTGTGTAAGTGAGGATAGAGAAAAGACTATGGAGAAATTCAGCTAAAACAGAGTTTTTCTACGGCTGTTCATGTAAAAGGGTCCATTGTCAAAGAAAGTCGGTACCTGGAAGATTTTCCAAACTAAAGAACACAAAAAACGGTAATCCGAACAAAACAGTTCGAACGCAACTTTATTTTTTAGAGTGATGCCGGCAAATCCGAGCAGATCTACTATGTGTATAACAACTGGAAAAAAAAATATTTTACTCCACTTCGTTGGTTCATTTTGCCAAATTATCAAGGTTATCAGTAGGTAGCCCCCTTTCATGTGTCATATTTATCGATGGTTTCCTTTATGCAGTTCAATTAGGAACAGTTTTATTGATAGTTCAGTGGATAGTTTCACATCATTGAAAGCAGCTCGTTCACAACTGTTGCAGAAACATGTCAGAATACAGAGAAAAAGGGTCACAGAAAACTAATATGCTCTTTCAATTTTTTTGTTACCATATTTATGGCTCACTCTGTTCAGTACTATTCCCCCACAACATGAAGGAATTTCCTCATCTCCTAGTTGAATTTTTTGAGTATTATTACGTTATTCCTTCTAGTCTTAGCAACATTTGGATTTCTTCGTTAGTGCCATTGGACATGCACTATATATACTAGAAATCCCTGAGATGTGGTAGGCGTGGCTGCGTACTTCAACTAAACGTGGCGGTGGCTGTGTTTGGTGAGATATTTTCATTTTGACACAATTGTGGTCATGTCTCTGTCCAACACACAACAAGATGACAGTTATCTCGAACTGATATATCCCACGGGTATTCTGTGTCTTGTTCAAACGCCTGCTCCATCTCAGGGATCAGGAGCATACCTTCTGATGACTGCGCGGCATGTCCCAGAACCGGAGCCTGCTTATTTTGCTCCTCGGAGATGATCCGCGAAAAGTGAATTGACAAGCAGACGCCAACGGTCAAAGGAGCTTGTTGAAAAGAAACCCTACGGGCAGGGATAAAAATGTCGCGCCGCTACTTCACAGTGTACTAAGTGGCCCCCATAACGAGGGACAAATTGTAACCCCTCATCAGGAAATTGTCAACTTTGCGCGTGGTGCATATGGAGCATGGTTGTCTGATCACCTTTAGTATGCACATATGTTTGAAATCATTTCGCCCCTGAAATAAATGAAGTGGGTGAGTTTTTTTTAGTTGATCGATTAATGGCACCGCGTACCCGCAATTTGAAACGTGATCACATCTGTTACTTGTCCGTCACTGCGAGGGGGCGTACCTCCTTGACTCAAAACATCTGCGAAACAATCAACTGACAGCTGTTATCGTTCACTGAGCGCAACTTCACGTGGGAGTACTCACCACCTTTTGCCGAATGTCCATTCATATTGAAGGCAAATCCCGCGATCATTCGCCATCACAGATAGTGGTTTAGAGGTTTGCATATAGACGACAAGGTTCTGAGTAACTCGATAGTGAAAAAAGAAGAAAAAAATCATGTCAACTGCCCAAGATAGAACCCTATTCCGATCCCAGTTCGTACGTGCCCAGTTACCCCATTCCCAACGCTACGCCCCATTCGCACAGCTATTTCCCCGATAAGAACTCTACGACATATAAGGTGACGATTTTCATGCTTTTTCGTCCTGCAGCTTCGTTTTTTCACTGAAAGGCGAGCCTTGAAGGCGGAGTCTGGGGCGGAGTCACTGGAAAAAAGGAGGCGTCACTGGTCACATGTCTATTATTGCGCTAGAGCACCCCTCCGTAACAATTTTTCTCACGGAACAGGTATAAGATCGCTCGCTGTGGACCAAACTACCCTCCAGATGCCATATTTCCAACTTCTATAACCGTGCCTTTGAGGAGACAGAGGCACACTTGTGCTAAGGAACTGGCGTGTCGAATTACGTTGCTGTGTAGAATTAAGGAAGACTTTATCATCCCACATAGAGACGTCTCCGCACGTCCGCGCTTCGCTAGTGATTGTGAGTTTAAAGGCAGTTGGCACGATGGTTTCCTACTTAGCCTAAAATGCTAGTAGGGCGCTGTATAGTGGGGAAATGGCGAAAGAACGGAGTGAAACGGTCAAAATCCGGCGAAGAAAAGCCTTCCGTTCTCAGTGACTTGTAAATCGATTTCGGACGAGTTCCCGGCTACTAAAGGTACGCGCAATATCAGTCGCTCATCATTGGCGGACGCGTAGGGCGTGCCAGCCAGAATGGAGTGGCCACACTGTGAAGCCGTTCCCAGCCTTTTCTTGTATGCAACTGGGCCGCTCCGTAATGCGACAAAAAAAGTAAAGTAGAAAAACCAGTGATACGAAGGTTATAATACAGTAATGCACAGCCCGCTTCAAAACTGGTGCAGAACGATTTTGCCAAACCGCACCAACGCAGCCGCATTGCCACGCCAGCCGGTCGCAATGATGAGGACTGAGTATGTGTACCCATAATATGCATGCAAAGCATCACGCGCCGCTTCCCGATGCCTTTGTTTCAAAAATTTGCTCAGCTAAAATGAATGAATATGAGCAACGTCAGAACGGTCGTCCGTTTGTGGGGGCGGGCAAGGAAGGCGTTTGGGACGTAAAGTTGTTGCTCAATAGGGCGTTATAGAGGTACCCTCCTTGGAAAAGGCTTCACGCAGCGCCTGTCCGAGGTCACGGAATTCTGTTAAGCCAGTTGTACAAATCCTACACCTGTATACGATTTATCGTGCCAACTGCCTTTTAGACATAAATGATTGCGAGCTGTTTATGGCGAAGGTTGATTACCAGTATATCCTCGGTTTATAAGTCGAAAATAAGTTTTGGGAAGCATCCTGAATTCGTATTGCGGGTACATTCATTGGCTCCCGCGGTTACGATTCAGTCGAATAATGAATGCAAGGGTGTCAATCACATGTTCACCAGATGTGCAGTCTATACGAAAAATGTTGCTGTGTGCCGTTGTTTGTTTGCGTCATAAGCAGTAGCAGTCATGTCTCACGTTACACAACAAGAAAATACTGAATACTCATCACAAGTACAAGTTTGCTCAGAAAAAAGTACAGATACGACTGTAATGAAGAGGAGTGGGCGTAGGGACAGCCCTCAGACTTCTTGTAGCGCTATCAATTGTCGCGCATGAACTGTATCAACTCCGCAGATTCCTTTATGTTCCTTGTCTTTCGGTAATTCAATCCCTTTTGCACTTTTTGTCATTTCCACCTGATTCTAAGCTCCTCTTTTTCAGTTTAACATTGAATTTTGATGTGGTTTTTGATACTTTAATAATGACTTTGTATACCGTTTTTCAAAATTAATTCAGTCTCAGGGTTAGCTATTGAATGTTTTATAACCTTGCGGTGGTGCAATCATTGAATCACAGCTAACGAAATCTGTTTTCGTTCCTTCAATGTTCCATGTTCGTTTAATTTTGTTTCTTGTCTTAAATCACTTATTAAAAGTGAAAAGAGGAGCTAAGAGTCAGGTAGAAATGAGATACAGTGAAAAAGGGATTGAATACCGAAAGAAAGAACATAAAGGGAAGCTGGGATCTAGCACAGTTGTAGCGCGCGACAGTTTGTACTGTCGCGCTACAACTGTAGCGCTAGCAAGTCCTGAACGCTGCCTAAAAGTCGAAAAAACGGGCACGCCCTCGAAAGGTCTTCCGGCAGTAGACGAGTGTTTCGAGAAGCGACATTGTTTCGCGGGTCAAGAGACCAAAGAAAAAGAATCAATAGTTCACGAAAGGCAGGCTGGAAG